ACATGTTGTTTTCAGTTAAATGATTATACAGCCTATTGTACATTATGCGTTCAAGCAATTTCGAGAAACAAGACAAAACAGATATAGGTCTGTAATATGAAAAAAAAAAGCCAAAGATTATGCTATAAACCAAATTAACACACAGAACGGCTTAAAATTAAGTGATTGGTTTCAAAAAATACATCCTGTTAAGAGACAGGCGGAAAGCCTATTTTGGTTAAAAAGGTCAATGTATATTTACTGCTTGTTTTATAAAAATAATGCTGGTAAACTAAAAAAAAAACTTTACGACACATAGTAATACAAAAAGGATGCAAGAGACTATATGTGTTTAAGATGTTCCAAGTGTGAAACAGATTTACAAAAAAATGGTGATGCTGGTAGTTATGAAATTACTTTTATTAAAATTATTATTAAAAACAAGACTTGTAGTTTGATTTAATATGGGGCAGAAGAGTTTGATTTAGGCTTTTGAAATTTATAATATAATAATTTGATTTTTTATTTACTCGTTTATGGTTTTAAGGTGAGTTTACACTCTTACGGGAACGGAAAGGGAGGGAAAAAAAATTACGTAGGCAAATTTTGATTGAATGGTTAAGCGCTAAACCTGCCCATACAACAAAGTTGAAAAAAAAAACTAGTTTATATTAATAAATGATTTATAAAGTGTTTCTTTACAAGCACCAATATACTATACTTAAATGTGCACTGAGCTGCAATTACTTTTAGTTTATTTAGTATATAGGCTTTAGTTAAGGACTTTTAATCTTTGCGTCTAATTATCTCATTTCAACATATTCGTTGTATAGGCTGGTTTGGGACTAAGTCATCCAATTTGTCCGAAGGAAAACTAAGCATGCTCACGTGATTATTTTTTCCTTCCCCATCCCGTTCTGTGGAAAAATGGGTGAGTGGAAGCTTATCTTTATAAATTATTTCCTGTTTTCAATTTAAGGTATTATTCTGCAAACTCAGTTGCCGAAACGTTATTCTTTATTTTCGAGATGGAAGGTATTTTCGAGATGGAAAGTATTTTTCTTCAAATATAAAAGTACAATGAGCCACAAAAAGATTAATGTGATTGCAAAATTGCTGTTGCCAAGAAGTGCATTAATGCATATGTTATCACTAGGAATAACTGTATGTCAGCACAGGATATCAAGTAAGATGTCTTATGGAGGTTCTAAAGATTAAAAAGTAGTTGAAATTGAAAAGTTAAAATCAGTCATTGATTGCATGATAATAAGTATTAGTTCAATCTATTCAATTTCATATAACAATAATGGAATGACGTTATGGCAATACTTTAATTTTGGTAGAGGAAAAAACGTTCAGTTTTCAGGATTGGAATTCGATTCTGGTTTAACAGAGATTTTAAGAAATCTATAGTAACGGAAAGATAGATGTCTGAACTCTGGTGTTTATTGTAGTCAGACTTATGTCTTATGATTTTTAATACTGAAGCTGACCTCAATAGTTTTATATGAACATCTTTCTAAAAATAAAATATTAAATGCCAGTCAATATGGATTCAAAAAAAATAACTCGACAGAATACGCCATACTTCATGTATCTAATAATATTGCAAATTCTTGGAGTTTTCATTGATCTATCAAAAGCCTTTGACACGATAGATCATGAGATTCTTATAAAAAAACTTAAAAACCATGGAATCAGCGGAAATTTATTAAATTTGCTGAAAAGTTATCTTAGCAATCGTAAACAGTTTGTGCAAATTGACTATCCTCCACAACAAGTTTACTAGATATAACATGTGGTGTTCCCCAAGGGTATATACTAGGGCCATTACTTTTTCTCATTTATGTTAATGATCTACACAATGCCTCAAATTTGAAGACAGTAATGTTTGCTGATGATACAAATCTTTTTCTGTCCGGTAAAAATATCATTACACTATTTAATGAAATCAACATAGAACTAATTAAAATTTCAAATCGGTTTAAGTCAAATAAACTATCAATTAACTAGGAAAAAACTAGATGGACTTTATTTCATTCAAAATCCCAAAAAAAACTTTTACAAAATGATATACCTCAAATATATATTGACAGTGTTCAAATAAAAAAAATCAAAAGTTATACATTTCCTTGGTGTTTTCATTGATGAAAATCTAACTTGGAAAAACCATATCGAAATTTAGCGCAATAAAGTTTCAAAAAGTATTGGAGTAATGTATAAACCGAGAAATTTCGTAAATAGACATTCATTCAACTTTATCACTCGCTAATTCAATGCCATATAAACTATGCAAATATCGCATGGGGTAGTGCTAAAAAAAATTCAATTAGACCCTCTTATCGGCAACAGAAGCATATAGCACGTTTAATAAACTTTGAAGATCGTTATACTCATGCCACACCTCTTTTATTGGAAATGAAAGTTCTTAATATATACCAGCAAAATGTTTTTAATGTTCTTTTGTTTATGTATTAATGTAAGATAAACCTAACCCCTATAATATAGGGTTTTTTTGTTTTATTGCATATAAATTTTGAAAGGATATAGGGCCTATATCCTTTCAAAATTTATATGCAATAAAACAAAAAAACAAATATGACTTAAGAAATGACAATCTTATTCATCAACATTATTCTCATACAAGTTTTGGAAGATCTCTTTTAACATATCGCGGAGCTCTTTTGTGGAACAAAATAGTTTTGAAAAATTTTGATTTTTCCCAATGTTTTCTTACTTTTAAAATTAAGTTGAAAAAAGTTGTCTTTTCAATTGATATCTTTGAGTTCTTTTGAGTTTATACCTTTTAAAAAAGTGTGTGGTTCCTGAATATATTGTTTTATTTTGAAATATTTAGTTTTATATATATTCTTTATGTTGTTAAACGTTATTTTATGTTTTGAAATATCTGGTTAAATTTAAATTTTATTTTTAAACGTCATTTATTGTAATTATTTAATTGGTTTTTTTTTACTGTATTGTTAAACGGTTCTCAGTGACAGGATCTTAAGATCCTCTTTCAGTCTCCGTGTTCTGATATTTAATGTACAACGATATTTATACCATAGTATATTGTAATGAGAACAAAAAATGAAAAAAAAAAAAAAAAAAAAAACAAAAAAAAAATTTTTTGGAAAGTTTAGTTAATTTAGAGCGCAACATTGTAACAGGATAGGCTACATTTGTAGATAAACATACAAGATTTACTACTAAGCAGAAAGATTTCTAAAATCAAAAGTTAACAGTTAGAGAAGAAACAGGACGCGAAACAACAACAGAAAAAGTTCAAAGCGAGAATAATGAAAAAAATACTGGTTTGATGGTAAATAACATGTGATAACTAAAAATCTGGACAAAATTAGAAATTGAATAACTTTTTAACAGAATGATCAATTTTAATAATTTAAAAAGTATAATGACAAAAAATATCTAAATAATAAAATTTAAAAAAATTATAAGTTTTTCATGCCATGATGACGAACAGTGTCTACTCTTGTAAATGTTGCGGCAGCTAGCCGATGTACACGTTCTATGTTGATTTTTCTTAATTTTTCTGAATAACTCAATCCGCTTTTTAAGTTTACCTAGATTTTCAGCTCGCCAGTTTTTATTATACACTAATCTCTTAAGTTCAGACCAAAAATCTTCAATTGAACGTAATTCTGGCACATTAGCAGGATTATGCTCTTTCGGTACAAATTCAATAGTTTTAGCTTTTAGATAATCTTGCACTTTACGCGAATAATGAGACGAAGCTAGATCAGGCCAAAAGACAATGTTGTCATTTTTATGATGTTTTTCAATGAATTTCTCTAATCTAACAAGACATTTTGAAATATACACATTTTTATTGATTGCTTGGCCTGACGGAGCAATGTACTGCTGAGAGATTCCTTTCGTCGAGAATGCTATCCAAACAAGTAACTTTGGCTCAAATTTGTCTTTTCCTTTTAACTTTACATCATTTGATGCTGTATTTACGTCAGAAGAATAGAATCCAGCATTTCCGGAAATACTGGTGTTGCTCAAATAAAAATACGATTCATCGTCAATAATAACTACTTTTTTCCTAAAAATCGAAACCAATCTACGGCACTTTGAACGAACCGCTGGTTTTTGAGTTGGTGTTCTTTTAGGTGTTTTAGTTTTTTTTAAGATAACGAATACTAGTTGTTTTGTGAATAATTTTGCATATGTTCGGTTGCGATACATGGAATCGTTTTGCAAGACCACGCTATGAAATACCATCCTTTTGATCAATCGAATTTTTAAGACGCTTTATCTCTTTTGCAGACATCTTTTTCGCTTTGCGACCACTTTCAACTTTTCTTTCTGGTCCTATATTATTCTCCTTTGAATTATATTATAAATAGTAGATTTTGGTATGTTCTCCTTTCGAAAATGCTTTACAACAAAGCTTTTATTCTTATCTGAATGCAAATCCAAAAATGCGTACACTTATTTTCTAAGGGAGTCTTTGTTACAAGTCTTTTTTTTCATTTTTATTACTAAATAATTTTTTTTTTAAATAATACATTTAAAGAATTAAATTTGTAACAAAATAGAAGTGATTGCAATTATATTAAACTATTCCTTCATATTTTAATATTTACTCAAACTTTGTCCAGATTTTTAGTTATCACATGTTATATGATTTTCATTCCGAGCAAAAAAACTTTTTCAACAACAAATAAAATGGAACGACCATGGAAAAACGTTTTCAAAATTATTATTAAAGCTTTTTATCGTTTTTACAAACATAAAAAAATCCAAAATAAATATGGATTTACGCTTCCAAATATTCATTTTAAAGGATGCACACCTTACTTTTAAGATGCACACCTTATTTTAAAGGATGCACACCTTATTTTTAAGGTGCACATCTTATTTCTTAGGTGTACACTACATGTCTTAGTTTGAACAACAAACTTCTTCATTTTATGAAACTTTCATAGTAAGATAAACAGATTAAATTACTATAAATATCATAAAACAAAACCTTGTACAAAAAACTGGCTGGATAGTAACTAAATATAATTCGATTTCATTTAAATACCGCACATAAAATAAAAAACCTTTATTATGGTAACGGCTTTTTATCGACTACAATCAATTGTTATGTCTATGCCATCCCACTTTTCCGACTATAAAAAAGAATTATATATGATCTTCATAAGATCAAAAAGTTCTATTGCGAAGCTGCATCTTCTTCCATTATTTTTTGTGCAAGACGTTTTCTCTCTTCAGCTTGACGCATTTTTGCAAGTACAATGCTTTCAAAATCAGAGTCTGTTGATTGATTAGCTGTACCTGTCATCTTTTGTAATGAAGAAACCTAATAAGAATTAATCACATTTACATTCACTATGCATATACACTGCACACACAGTGGCGGATTACTATTAGGCAGTTGCTCAAAGTACACTTAAAAAAAAAAAAAAAAATTTTAAGTGAAAAAAAAGTTGATTCGTTTTTTCAATAGCATTATTTATATCATTTTGTAAACAAAAAGGTTTGTTTTTTGAAATCATAATATTAAAGTATTCCAAACATATTCTTTCAGAATGTGCATTTTTTATACTGCTGTAGTTCATTTTTTAGCGTTCGTGATAATGTCAAACTATAAGCTTTTGTTAAGTTATATAACTTTTTGTATGAAAATATTATTTCTAATTTATTTTTTAAAATATTATTTAATTATAACTTATATTGAAAAAACATAGTCAACATAAATGCATATTATCAAAGAATAAAGATATAACATTCGGTTAACAAAAAGCTAAACAACTTTTCAATTAAGAATATAACGACATTCGAATTAAGAATATAACGACATTTTTCGAAAGATTTTTCAGATACTTTTTCAAATATGAAACGGCTGAATCAAGAAAAATCAAGCAAAATTGTTTTATTGAATTCAATTTACTTGTTACAAAATTTTTAGATTAAATTTTATTTCAGTAATTAGAAATATCTATTTATTAAATATAAAAAATAAATAAAAAACTAATTGAATTTATCTCTGCCTAAGGCGCCCGAAATAGCTTAATCTGCACGCAAACGCGCACGCAAACGCACATACATACATGTATCGTACTGATATAAGTAGCATAACGAGATCGACGTACCTGTTTTTTTTGCGATTTTTCAAAGTTTGCCCCTTCTAACCAAGAGCACTGAAACGGATTTTCATCAAGCCCTTTTTCAAACTCTAAAGCCATGTTCTTTGAAAAAAATATAAAATATATATTCAAATATGAAACAACAAATTAAACATAAAAATCGGAGGAAACAATTTACCGCATGAATATGATGCATAAATTCGACAATGGCTAAACCATTTTTCTTAGATAATACAATTGCTGAAACTGGTCCGTACTAAATTTTTAAAGAATTATCGTAACTTTTAAGAATTTAAATTATATATATTTTCTACCCCAAAATATTCTCAAAATAGATTATGAAAGTAAATGTAACCTTTTCAAAACATTGTTTAAGAACCCTTTCGTTATACCCACCATTTTGATGGTCATTTGAACAAGCCCATGTTACCTAAAAAAAAAAAAAATTCATAAAAAAAGTTTACAAAAATGATACCAAAAAATTATTCATTTTTACAATTCACTTTTAGTTTAGGTGAAGTTTCAGCATGTTTTTTTAGTCGATCTTCATTAAGTTGCTTTTCAACTAGCAGTTGCTGTTCTTTTAGCAAACGAGATCCTTCAGAGCGTAGTCTTTTAATCTAACAAATAGAAACAAAACATATTTTTCATACATGATACATAACTTTATTAACGCAAAATATAAATATAACAGACTTTAGTAGGTCAGGTCGGAAATAAAAAAATTTTAATCTGAGGGGAAGATTTGGATAAGAAACGATTGGTTTTAAATTGGAAAAGAGTAATACTTTAAACTAGGTTGATAGGAAGATTACCTACATGTGAGTTTTTACATATGGTTTACTTAGTCTGGATAATATGATAAAATTTTTTAACACTTAACAAAAAAAGTTTATTTTACGCGTATTTTACAAAATGTAAACTATCTAATTAAAAACTACTTTAGTAACAGTAACCAGTAGTCTGACAAAATAAAATGATAAATATCACTATATTAAATCACAACTTCAAATACTAAGCGAAAAAAACAACTTTTTGTGTACCACCAGGGGCCCAGCTTGGACCATATTTGCACACTTTTCAGGCTTTTTCAATAATATTCAATTACTTAGTGTTTGTTTACATGTTATCAAGATAAAAAAGTTAAAACTTAGAAATCAGTTTTAAATTCTAAAAATCATATTTTAGCAAAGCAGCAACTCCTTCGACCTGTCCTTCTCTTAAAATTTCCAACCTGCACTGACCTTTTTCTGTAATTCGTGCTTCATGTTCTTGTCTTGCAAGTTTTATTTCGGTTTTGGTTTCAAAAATTTTATCATCTCCATCCATGCACATGCTCTTCTTTCCTGTTGTTGGTCAAAATAAAAATCAATACCATCTTTTTTTCTTTCTGACAAAAATCTTAATTTCTCTATTTTATCTATGGCGTCAGGTGCATTGGTACACCTGACGTTAAAAAGAGAATCCAATTGTTCAATAAAATTTGCTCTCTTGCTGCCAGGGTCAGTTGTTATTCCTTTATATTTTATTAAACTCTGTCATTCATTCCAAAGTTGTATAAAATCAAACATGCAATGCTGTCTGTATTTAGTTTTTATGAGTACCATATTCCAAAAAACAAAGACTGCATCAACCGCAACATAAGCAATATCCTCATTCTTCAATTTATTTTTAACATTTTCTGGATTGTTCCTTAGAATTAAGACATATTTCATAATTTGCCTTCAATTAGGCAGTTTGGCCCCATTAATTGATGTTGAAGGATGACCAATTAACCAGAAATCAGTTAACTTTCTTGTCACAGGTTTGCTTGGAGTACATTTATATGAGCTAGGAGTACTAGTAATACTTATTGTCTTACCTTGATGAAGTGGATTCTCTTTTGGTTCTTCAAATTTTTTTGTCTTTGGTACATCGCTGTGATTGTGAGGCTCGCGCTTCTTACTACTTCGAGTCAACATCTCTCTGATATATTCAATGATAAAATTAAATTTATTCTTTCACATAACAGTGTCTAAACTCAAATAATACAATTATGTAAAACTATTATGTAGAAAAATCAAAATGCCTTTTGTAAAGTAATGTACAAAAAAAAATCAGATACGATTACTTTAGTACATGTAAACCTCTACGAATTACTAAATTAGTTTAACAACTGGTTCATCATTGAGGTAAATTCTGGAAACTTTTTTAATTTTTTACTTAAAAAAAAAACTTTATTCAATATTTAACCTTAATAAAAATTTAAAAAAAAAATTTTCTATTTCTAGCCTAGAAAGACCTTCTACAATTTCTTAAATTGAAGCCACTGAAAACAAATCAAAGTTTTTTTTTAGAATTGCAATAATTCTTTGATTATTGCAATTCTAAAAAAAAAAAAAAAAAAAAAAAAAAAAAAAAAAAAAAAAAAAAAAAAATGCAAATTATGCGAAAAATGGGGAACATGTTCAGAGACTTTGAGGGACCTCAGGATCACATATCAAAAATCTGTAAAAATTATTTTTAGACAGTATTGATAGTATATTGACACTTCATGCTATATCCTGGACAACCCTAATACTTCTCCCTAATACTTCTCCTTAATATTTTTTTAGTAATCTTAATCAAAGTATATAAATGTTTTTGAATGACGCACATCTCAAAACACATCAATGAAACACATCTCAAAACACATCAATGACACTGACACATGCTGACACAATGACACAATGACAATGACAATCTCTTCACATTGAGATTATACCATTTAAGCCTCTCAGTGTTTCTTCTAAGTAAGGCGCACACACATATAGTTTTTAAGATTCAATTATGCCATGCCATTTAATAACAATTAAGGTGAAAAAATGTTAATCTTAAATTTTTGCCTTAATTGTTTCATATTACCTTTTTTTATCTACTTTTATCGACTCCTGTGTATTTATCTACTCCTATGTGATATTATCTACTCCTGTGTATTTTTTATCCCCAAACTTTTAGCTCTTATTAATTTTGGATACCTGTTGCTTCTTAACATTAGGCTTAGTGCACTTAGTTCCATTCACCTCCTCCCTTTTGGTCAACTATGTTATTGATGAAAAATATGTAAAACAATTATTATTAATAATTTTTTGCTTGAATTTTTTGGTTTTATACTTAATCTGTCCAACACGTTTTAACAGTTTTTAGCTAACTCTAGCTCTAATATAATCTTTTCTCCTTCTACCATGAAGTTCCTATGGCTGTATGCATTACTCTAAAGTAACTGGTTATCAAGTCCAAATGCGAATTATAAATGTAGCATTTATCATTTGCTTTTATGTATTGCAAAAGAAAAAAAAAACAGTTTATGCATTGCAAAAGAAATCTTTTAAAATACTAAATTTAATAACAATCACCTTAAAAAAATAAAAACAAAAACAATATGCAAATTATTTAAATTATTAACTTTTTTTTATATTTTTTCCTATTTTAATTTATTTCATATTTTGATAGTTTTGCTTTCTTTGTTTTTGAAACTTTTTTCTGCAATGCCTAATATAATAAAACTTGTAAACTGTCATAACCTATGCGAGGACATACAAGACAAAAACCAGCATGCATCTCCTGGGAAGGCTTGTACATCATTCTTTTCAAAAGTTTAGTTCTTATAGTAGTCACATTTGCAGCATCATCAGTAAAAAGCCGCCAACTTTGCATTTGGAATTTGTCTCTGCAGTTTTAATAGAAGCTTTTGCAACTTCCAAAAGATTTTCAGCAGTATCGAAATGTCCTAAAGTATCTAATGTGTCTACCAAATGAACCTTACTGCTGTCTGAGTAGCACACTCTTACTGATGCACATATAATTGGCTCATTTAAGACATTATTTCATCCATCAAGACTCATGCATATGGTTCGATCATCTAACATATTTTTAGCCTTTTCAGCCTTCTGAGTGAAATAGAAAAATCTAGTAATTTCTTTTCTACTTGGACGTTTGCAGCCAGGTCTCAATAGACAAACCAATTCTTTTAAACAATATATTTTTAGTTATTCTGAAAGGAAAATTTGTGACTTGAAAAATTTTGGAATTATTTTGGTAACTAGTTTACTTTTTCATACTAAACACAGTACAGTATACACTCAAGACTAGATGCTAGAGACTAAAGACTAGATAGTAAGTCAGCTATAGTTTCATTATACTAAGGTGTATACAATACCTGACATGAGAGTATATTTGTCTCGACACTCTTAGACAGTTTAAAGACTGTCTACAGTCTAGACTATAGTCACAACTAACTGGTCTGTAAATTATCTAATTAAATCTCTCTATAGTCTGTACACTCAACAGTTAAAGTAGTTTGGATGTTTGTTACAATAATGTTCTGATAAATTACCTGTGGCTTAAGACCCTGGATTTTCTACATCGGGGATGTAGAAAATCCAGGGTCAAAAATAAATCAAAGAAAATTGAGAAAAGCAAAAGGATACCTAGAAAATTTATACAAAATAAGGACATTAAACAAAATGATGACTTTTTCACAGGTTAAAAGATATCCATACCAAGAATAACTTGGTATATAAATATTAAATGTCTAACAACAAACTTGTAATAATCATCTCATTAAAAAAAATTTTTGGAATGAAAATTTTTTTTTTTGAAATGATAAATGAAAACAATTAAGTGTCCTTCTTGTTAGGAACCTTTGAATGCCTTTACAAAACTAGTGGCAAGGAATAATAAATATTCAATTTTATATCATGCTTAGATTTGCGAATGCAAGAAACTAAAACCAAATGGTTTTAAATAAATGCCAGCTTCTACTGGACAAAGCTACTAAAGAACTATTTAGTGGTTTCTGTGATTCAAAATTTATTTATTCAAACACTCAGTTAGTGATAACAAATAGCTGAATGTAACTTAAAGCCAGACTAAGTAGTAAATGAATCTTTTATTTAATTGTTAAATCTGAGTTTAGTAATTATGTGAGTTTAGTAATTTCTTCATTTAAATAAGTAAAGAAATTACTAAACTCACGAGTTTAATAATTTCTTTACTTATATAATTCAATCCATCCATCAAGTTCCATCTCATCAAACTCATGATCCATCCATCATACTCATGATCTATTGTTGCATTTAAAATTCTTCTTTTACATCCATATGAGAAGAGCTGCTCAAATAAAAACAATTGAAAACAATCGCTTCAAAGAAATCTTGATCATTGAATATTATTAACAGGTAGAATTTAACTAAACCTACAACTTCCAGATGAGCTTAGCAGAAGCTTTTAATCGTCTGTTTTAGACCATATTAATCTATTATTATGACAGGGAAAAAATATAAGATGTGAGTTAGATTTAATGTGTTTTTTATATCATTATCTTCCAAGAGATTGATTGTTTGTAAAAAAATACAACTTAATAATAAAGTTTTAGATTTTAATCCAGTGCTGAAAGATGGTTTGCTTTGTTGGACCCTGACATATTAAAAATTTTGTAAAAAGTTATATTGAAATAATGAAAAAGGAGATTTAATAAGACTGAGAATATTTAGTTTTAAAATCCAATAATAGATTGATTAAAATGATTGAAATCAAGTTTTAATTTCTAAATTTATAATTAAGTAACTTATACATTATGTATAAGCATATAAAAGTTTGAGTTAAATAAAAATATTAAACAAAGTAAAAAGATAATATGGATTTAAAATGAATACACAGTTTTCATATAAATTTATTTTTATATCTTTTTTCTGGTATATTTTATTATAACCATATTACTTAAGTAAAAACAAAAAACAATATAAAATAATTAAAAACAAAAAACCATTAACACTTTACAACATGCTACAATAACCACAGTAACAGTAACCACAGTAGTATAAACCACAGTAAAAGTAACCACAGTATTAGTAATTAAAGCAACAGTAACCACAGTAACATTTATCACAGTAACAGTATTGATAACATTAACAGTATTAAATCTTCATCAACCTTAAATAAAAGAGTAAACCTCTGCAGCAAGTCTTTCAGCATTTAAAGTATCATTGCTGACGGCTTCTTGTGCAGCTTTTTCTCTGTTTTCCAAATCTAAATTTATAAATAAAGTCATAAAAACAACCCATAATATGATTTATACAAATTAATGATTAATTCTAAAATCCTTTTATTTTCTTGTAAGATGAATTTTATAGAAAAATCAAGGGGAATTACACGACAGAAAATGAAAAAGTAGTCAAATTTTATTCTCTTTGAATTTATTTGTATTTAGACAATAGATAAAAAAAAAAGATTTATTTGCTATTCTTATAATGTAAAAAAATCAGTTAGAATCATTTTTATTTTTGTTTTAGCAATTGTGGGTCATCCATAAAGTACGTCACCCTATATTTGTCAATTTTTCACCCCTTTCCCCTCCCCCCCTGTCACAAACAATCACATATACCTGAACCCCTCTCCCTCCCAAACTGCTATTTTTGATTCATCAAAAATATTTTAAAAGATTTAAATCTAAATACTTTCCAGCATTTTAAGAATTCAACGTAACGAAAATAAAAATTCAACCTGACAAAAATAAGGCAATACACATAAACATAAAGAGTGTAAGTAAAAACTTCAACAAACCAAAGATTTTCTTTTTAAACGACTCAAATAAGTATTAGTAAAGTTGCAATACTAAATTAATTTTTTAAAGTTGCTCTTGGTTTTGCGTAAAAACTGTTTTCCATTAAATAACTTTTATAAATGTTATAAAAAATCACTCAGGAAGAGTGCCACAAGTTTTTTAAAATTTCCTTTGTTAATTTTAACAAATGAGTTCAATACTTTGTTAATTTTAACTTTGTTAATTTAACTTTGTTAATTTTAACGAATGAGTTAAATACTTTTGCAATTCTTTTTTATGTGTATATATATAAAATATGTATATATATATGATATAATATATGTATATATATATATATATATAAAATATGTATATATATATATAAAAATGTGTATATATATATATATATATATATACATATATATATATATATATATATATATATATATATATATATATATATATATATATATATATATATATATATATATATATATATATAGGGGATGGGACGAGGGGGCAAGTTGATATGAGGGCAAACTGATTCAAAGCTAATAAAACAACTATTACACTAGTTGTGCGAATAAGATTTGGTACAGGAAATAGCTTTTTAGTTCTCTAACGTCTGATGTAAAAAGATTTCCGCTCATTTCAAAGTTGATCAAGCTGGAAAGCATTTTGTAAATCGAGTAAACTTTTGAAAAAAAACTGACAACGTGTTTCATAAGAGATTTTACAAAAAAGGTAAGTACATTTAGGTCATCAACCCTTCCATTAGTTTAAGAAAACATTGCTAAATGATTTTGCATATGAAATTGTTTGTTCAAATTTAATGCAACGCGGTCTAAAGGGGCACGTTAATACAGAACACATAAGGGACAAATTGATACACTGTATAGTCTTACCCCTTTGGTAAAGCATTAGAATATGGCCGAAAAATATTTTTGTTTATATATTTGCATTAATGCAATTGTTTGGTGTAGATTAATGTTTTTTTTCTCTTGCAGATATAGTAAATAGGTAAATAGGCCTAATAAAATTTATGTTTTTGTCTTTTGTACTTGTTTACTTAATCTTTTGTGTTTGATTACTCAACTAATTTTTTAAAGCTTCATTTTCAAGTCTTATTAAATGTATCAACTTGCCCCATGGTGAGTATCAACTTGCCCCAGCATGGGGCAGGGTGATACACAAATCTTTACCATACTTTTTGTGCTGTATTTATTTTAATTATGTTCTAATCAATAAAATTGTGGTACTAAAATATGCAGGATACTTAGTGGAACATAAGTTATTATTTCCACTCTAAATATACTATTTAGCTTTTAATGTCAGAAAATGTAAAAAGTGTATCAACATGCCCCCCTCTCCCCTATACATATATATAAAATTTATGACATCTTTATTAGTATGTGTAATAATACTATAAGCATTAAAACATTATATACAATATCATACTATTTATTTATTTTTTTATGTGATATTTTGGATTATATAGCAAGATCCATTTGTTTGAATTAAGCTATTGCGATATTCATAAAAGTCGATATTGTCAATACTACGATATTACATAAACACAGTATCGAACTTCGATATTGAAACTGGATATATTTTTACTGAATTTCGAACTTATCGATATTCAGTTCGATATTTTACAATATTATACGATATTAAACGAGATTCTAGAATTTTAGAATGCTATTTTTGTGTTCAAGACCCATTTTTTCTAATTAGAGGAATTTGAAGGGTCTAATACCGTAAGTTATCTTCAATATTTGAAATATGTTTTAGCAATTTGGAAAAAAAATTATAGCTCAATTAATTGTAAATTTTTTCATAAACATTTTTACAAAACAAAAATTAGTCTATCGCGTCAGCTGATGAAACATTTTCTTCCTCGATTAGCCATTTTTTAAAAGTAACTTTACTAATGTTGATTTTAACGTACACAAGTTTTTCTATTGTCTCGGCTTTTAGTAAAGTTCTTTTACATGACACAATATTTCCGGCTTGTGAAAACACACGCTCTGAAGAAGTTGATGACGCTGGGACACACAAGACTTTCTTAGCAGCTCTAGACAAAATTGGAAGTTGAGGTGAATGAATTTCCCACCATTCCAAAATATTGTAATTTTTATCTGGAAATCCAGATAAAAATTAAAGCCCTTAAAATGTCGTCCGTTTTAAGGTTGCTGCTTGCAATTATTTCAAGAGCTAATCGTAAATGTAATATTGAATCCATGCACATAAAACCACTATTCCAACATGTAGGACAAGGAGAAATAATTTTATTAAATTTGATTTTCTCAGGTATGACATCATTACATGCTTCCATAATTCTCTGTTGACTGTTGATTGATTTGTGAGTTCGTGCTGAGAGTGTTTTGCACACCTTGAAATAAAAAATTAATTTGGTTAAAAAAAATATATAAACAAAAAAAAACATAGGATTTGAAAGTTATTCATTTGTTGGTTGCACCTTTATGCAGGTAAATGGTATTGATGCATTCTTTAAAATTTTTTACTATTGAGAAAATAGACTATCGCATTTTTCATAGTTTCGTAAACAAGAGGAGAAAATGACTAAACATTTTTTTTACCCGAAAAACTTTTTCAATCTCATCGACTTCTTTGACAGATTTGATAATAACAAGGTGAAGTAAATGTGCAATGCAGGAAATACTTTCATCAATTTTGGCCGATTTTATCATCCCAGATATCATGTTTGCTGCACTATCTGTGACAGAAGTCATTTTACAACCATTATTGAAAGGTAGAACAGAAATTAATGTGTCTGTTTTAATTGAAATATTGTCACCTGTGTGGCTGTCTGGAAAAGCATTACAGCCCAGCAAAAATGTCTTTAGTTCAAAGCCAGTTGTAATATAATGAAGCGTCAAGGCTGCAAATGACTCATTGCTTTTGCTGGACCAAAGATCTGAAGTAAATCCAACTGCATCTACATCTTTTAAGTCATGTGTTAAAACATTAAGAACTGCCTCAAAAACATTAGAATAAAGGATTGGAAGTTTGTTTCTTGAATATGTTGATGGTGCTCTAATAATAATTTCTGGACGAAGGCTTAATAAAAAGTCTTTAAAAGCAGGTGATGAAACATGTTGAAAAGCTAAATTTCCCATGCACAAATATTTCACAATATCCAAGTCTGCTATTAACTGTCGCTTGTCGTTTGTTCCATATTTTGTCACAACCTTGCAATACGATGAAATGTCCATCTTTACTCTTTTTGCACTTAGAGCTATTGGCCCATGAGTGTCCAAAATTGATTCTTGTGCAAGCTGCTCAGCTGTTGTTTCTGGTGCTCGTTTTAAATTTTCTTTCCCAATGTTGAGAAAAATTTCATTATGACAACTTCTGATGTGAACCTTCAAACCAGTCGTAGTGCTCTGTTTGGTGCCTATTTGTGTTGGGCATAGCTTACACTGAGCAATATCTTTTTTTGGTGTGTCTCTTAAAAAATACGCCCAAAAGGGACTTACTCTTGGCATTTTCAACAAAAAATATCACAACTTTTCTGACTTATAACTTCTATTAGTAACTAATTTTGAAAAAAATATTTATAAGGTTATATCAAAAGTATTTGAGTATTGAACAAAAATTAAGACATCAATTTTTGGTAAAGCTACAGTTAAGCAGCCTAAAATAAATTTACTGTTTCGCTTTTTGCGCTCTCGTTCGTAGAGACTTTAAAATATTAACAAAATATAAAAGCAAAGAAGATTTATTTTATTCTAATAAGAGCAAAGTAAATTTATTGTTTAGAAATAAGTTGTTTGCGGAATTTAATGTTTTATGCTTTATTTTATATATTGTTTTCTTATTATTTTTTATATATTATTTGCTATTATTATTTTTTTATTTTATTACTATTATATTATATTTTATTTATAAAAATATATTTATTATTATAATATCAAAACTTTGATTATAATTTACCTTGATTATAATTTAATTTGATTATAATTTGATTATAATTATTATATTTAATAATTAAACTTTGATTATAATTTACTTATAATTTACTTTGATTATAATTTATATTTACTTTGATTATAATTATTATTTATTTACCTTCAACTTTAATATAAAACTTCAACTTTTAATTAAATCTTTTAATTTCAAATTCACAACCCGTAACATTTATTATTACATAACATATTAAGTTTCGCTTTAAAAATACGCTCCATTGTGTTTTTAAAAAGCGAAAAAATATAATTATTTTAGGCCGCTTAACTGTAGCTTTACCCAATTTTTAATTTACACTTAATTTTTAGCATTTTAAATTACTTTTCAGTTTGGCGGGAAAGTTTAGCTGGGAAATTTTAGGAGGGACAGTTTAGAGTATAACAGTTGATTTTTATTAAAGTTTGAATATTAGTATCGATATTTTAGTTTGAATATCGAGAATCTTTCGATATTGCTGTGAAAGGATATCGAATATCGAAACTTCGATATTATTAAAAAAATTACAATATCGACAATTCAATATCGAACCTGGTCAAAATGTTGATATTTTAGCATGTTTCGATACTACGATACTGATATCGCAATACTTTAGTTTGAATGCTGTTGATCTGAAGAATGATTAAGCTAAAAAATTTTGATTCTGACAATAAAATAGCAAATACATGACAAAAAATGCTATTTAACTTATGTTACGCAGAAAAAAAAAAAGTAAAAAAATGTTTCCACTATAAGGACAAATTTCTGCAAAATGGTATTGTGAATCATATTGAAAATTTTTCAAAATGTTGTTTATTTAATTCCCAATAAAGGTTTTATTAGAGATATATTAGATCACATATTAGATCATTAGTAAGTTCAGTAAAATATAAACATTAGTTTTATATTTAAAAAAATATTTATTGACAATTGTTAGATTTCATTTGCTGATTAAAAGCAACATTGGTGATGAATTGGTGATGGATTACCTTATTTTTTAAGTTTTAAAAGAATTGCAATTGGAATTTTTTCATTTAAGTTTATACAAATAATCACTCTTGTTGTTAGAGATTTTTCATCAAAAATTTATAAAAGTAACTGAATCAAAAACATTTTTTTCTCTAACAGTAAGAGTAAATTTTAAATATTAATTCTTTATCATGTAAATAATAACAAGATTTAAAAAAAACTAAAACTTTTAGATAAATTTGCAAAACTTTAACTTATATTACTTTTAGATAAATTTGTGAAACTTTACCTTATAGTATAATATTATATTATAGAAATTTAAAATTAAAATGTGCTTAAAAACAGAAGATTTAATATCAAAACACATATATCAATAAATATCAAAAAATATATATACACATTTATATATGTATATATATATGTATGTATATATATATATATATATATATATATATATATATATATATATATATATATATATATATATATATATATATATATATATATATATATATGTATATATATATATATATATATATGTATATATATATATATATATATATATATATATATATATATATATATATATATATATATATATATATATATATATATATATATATATATATATATACTAACCCTCTTTAAACTTTTTTCTCTTTGCATCATAAGCTTTTGTTCTAAGCTTGGCTGCTTCTTTTGCTTTTATGACTTTGTTAAGAGCTTCCTAAAAAAAGGTTTTCACAATTTTTTTGTTTATATACAAAATTTTGCTAAATGCAGAAGTTTAGAGCAAGTTAAAAAAATTTTATAAATGAAGTATTTTTTAATGAACCCTTATGCAAAAGGATAAATGAGAAAAAATTAGTTTGACATTTTATACCAGGTAAAGAAATGGAGCTATTATTTTTTATGACACCACTGAAAATCTCTGGTTTTACTGCCTAAAACCTCTACAACAATAAATCTCTTGGATGGGTAGCGTTACAAATACATTGAGAAAACAAGTGCAGACAATTTGAAAAATACTGAAATAATATCTGCACTTCAGAAGACACAAGGTCGGTTGTCCAGTTTTTTGTGAAAATGAGTTATGTATGAGACCTTCTTAGTTTTTTCAGTATCTACACAGAGATATAAAGACTGTTGTCCTACAACAATGTGAAACATTGTCGTAGTAACAAAGTTAGGTCAATATAAAAGGTCTGGTGTTCCCACAATATCCTAAGGAAAAACATCTATTGTCCAGAAACAACTTTTTATCTTTCAGGTGTAATTATATATCATGTGCCTTAAGACAAATTAAATAAAACATGAAAAAAATTACTTAAATTTAACCTTCAAGAATAAGCCAATAAAAACTAATTATTTTACTATTTCCTCTCTCCTGAACAATTTCTAAAATGTGGCAACTGACCTTTGACTTCTGAGGTACAGATATATAGAAAAAATTCATTTAAATCTTTACAAACCATTTCTCTTGATAAAAAAGTAATTATTAAAGTTAACCTCATTCGGATCTGATGTAGTTCGAAGAATAAGCCACCACCACCTTAATTTCATTAAACATAGTTACTAAAACTCATTTTAAATATGATGTTCTTCAAATAAAAACAATGCTTACTCGTGCTTTAGGATCTGTCAAAATCTTCAATGCTTCAGCAATTTCAATAAACAACTCAGCTAAAAAATAATTTAATTATAACGTGAATATAACTTTTTTTTTTTAAATTTTTATCTGAAATACTGCAACCTTGATACCCATAGGTTTTTTAGTATATTGACACTAGAATTCAATTAAACAGTTTAGAAATTTTTATTGTTACCTGAATTTGTTTTATTTAAACCTCGTACCTGCTTTTGGATTATCTGGATTTTTGTCAGGATGACATAGCAACGCTTTTTTTCTATAGGCTTTTAAAATCTAAAAACATACCAATGCTGTCAGATAAAAATCTGACAAAAAAAAATATATATCTTAAAGTAAATTATTTGTTATTGTTTAATATTAAGTTAACTGACAATACATAGGAAAGTTAAGGGGGTTGCCCTAGAACCAGGTTAAATTTGTTAAAGGTAGGTTTAAATTAAATGGCTATAACCCTACTATAGATAATATCCTATACAACTTTTTTTGACAAAATTTATAATAAAACTTATGAGTTTTTACCATGCACAAACTTGAAAAATAAATTTTATAAAACATTTTACTACAAGTTTTGGTGTATATCAAACTTTCTCTGTTTTTGATGCATAAAAGCAGTACAAAAGTATCATGTAGAGATTTGAAATCTTAAATTTATTAAATTTGAATTTAATTGACTATTAATGAAATAAACCCAATTGAATGTTATTGACTATTTCTGATATTTTTTATAACATGCACACTATTAAATGTGTAAATTTTATTTTGTACTTAATAAAAAACATAGTTGTACTTTTAATTAAGATTCAAATGCAAATGTATTGAATGAATGATTTACTGTGATGATAGGACTAATTTTAAAATTAACATTAAATAGATTTGTTAGACATTCTTCAATTTCATCAAAAAATACATGTTTCAATGTTTAATACCTTCCAAAAACAACAACTCCTGAATAAAAACAACAACTGATTAAAAACAACAACTGAATAAAAACAACAACTCCTTAATAAAAAGTCTTAGTTCTCATCTTTCCCCACAAATTTACCACCATGGTATTAACCATGGTAACACTTTTTCGCAAGTTTTCATCTTATTTTTTCTTTTATCAAAAATTATTTTAATTATTTAATTGGTTTGATTCTTAAGTAGTTTTAAATGAAAATAAAGAAAAAGAAAATTCATCTCATAACAAGTTGTGGGCTCATCTAGAGGTATATCGTAGAAAGTGTATAAATTCATTACTATATAACTTTCTGCTGTGCAATTCATAAAACTACAAAGTTTGCTTAATTTTTTTTTTTCTTCTTCAACCACATTTCTCATATAAGATACTAAATTTTCCAACATGCTCAAACTTGTCAGAGTACACTTATTATTTTGACCAAACTATTGGGGAAGAGGTATCAAATCTTAGGGAAAGAGGTATCAAATCTTTGGGAAAAGAGGTATCAAATCTTTAAGGAAGAGGTATCAAATTTCCTTTATGGTATAATTTTACAAACAGATTGGTATCAAAATTGATGCTTTTCAATGTATGTAAATGATTTTATATTTTCAATAACAACATGATAATATTTTCTGTGAAAGGTTTGATTCTGTCAAACCATATTATATCTTGTTTTTTGAAAACCACTGTTTTATCTAGTCTTGAATGAGAAAAATTTTTGCAGGAATCTTTTCTAAAGCTGTAAACTATTATTTTGGAATAGGATTTTTTGTAAAGTGTATTTTGTTTGCGTCATTTGATACATTTTTTTTAAAAATAATGAATACATTTTTTAAATAATTTAGATGGTTCCCTATTAATTGTATTAAAAAAAAATGATCCACCAGGAGCATAAATCTATTTCTGCAGGAAAACTGAATACTGTTTTAGTTATAAAACAGTATAACTGATTTATTGTTTTTTTAACCGCTTCTGCAAGCAACAACACAGTACTTTTGTGGCAAATGTTACTAGAGATGACATTTTGCTTTAAACATAAACTGTATCATTTGGCGAATATTAGGCTTGTAAATACTTAAAGCTCTCAACTCAATTAAAGAGATTTCCAATATGCATTTATGTTTGCTCCAAATAATGTCCTGCAAGCATGTTTTAGTTTACTAGATATTTTGGTTTAGTTTGATTTAGATTAATTAAATAAAAAAAAAAAAGTTTTTTTACAGAGGCATTATTAAAAAAGGTCTGCATAACATGGAAATATACTTTGAGATCTTTTGATCTATCTGACAATTTTTCATCTAAAACTACTCCTAGGAAGTTTGTGGTCAATTTCTTTTTAAATATTATATTTTTGAATAAAAGATTCAATAATTTCAAATGATAAGGTTTCACTAGGTTTATGGAATAGGATAAATTAAGCTTTCTCTACATACAATAAAAGTCAGGTACTTGTAAAACATTTATTTTATCTAATTCTTCCTTAAATATTTTAAAAGGAACATCAATAAAATTGTTAAATAATTTACTTAATAATATTGAGAAATATAAATATATATAGCAATAGTGAGATTTATTTTATTTAGGTATCATTCATTAGTGATACAACTAGTTTTGTAAAATAATTAAATTAGTAAATATTATACACATTTACATTAAATAAATTAATAAAGCTGATTTTTATTCATTATCAACATATTTTATATCTTAAATAAAAACAAACTTCATTTTATGCTTATAGAACTTTGATTAGAATGACTTTCAAAAACTGTGTAACTATGTTAACTTTTAAAATTTACAATTTCAAAGTAATTACATGACTATGTTATTTTCAAAAGTTTTATAGAATTTACCCTTAGATTGATAAACTGTGAAATAGCGTGAAATAGAAATTCATCCCCAGAACTAAGATTTTACCCCTAGAGTGATAAATAGTGTGAACTAAGAAATCACCCCTAGAACTAAGTATTTACTTCTAGAACTAAGATTTCACTCCTTAAATGATAAGCTAGTGAGAACTAAGATTTCATCCCTACAACTAACAATTCACTAATGGAACTAAGATTTTACCCCTAGAGTGATAAACTAGTGTGAACTAAAAATGTTTTTTTAAAACAAAGATTTTATAAACCTATAACCAATGTTCACTAATTATAATAATACTTATTATGATTAAGACATAAAATAAATAAAAACTTTAAAAAACTTAAAAATAATTTTAGATTAAATTATATTAACTTAAAATTAAAGAAAAATTAAAAAATAATAAAACTTAATAAATAACTTGCCTCATTTTCTGTACTTTCAAAAGTAACTCCAAGTAATTCATAATAGTTCATTTTAATTCAATTAAACTTTATTTAGTCACTAAAAAATCTATGAGTGTGTATATATATATATATATATATATATATATATATATGTATATAAATAAATGCATATATATATATATATATATATATATATATATATATATATATATATATATATATATATATATATATATATATATATATATATATATAATATATATATTAGGGTGTCCCAACCGCCCCTTATATTCTAAAAAAGATCTGTTCATATTCTTAAAACTTTCTATTGGTTCTCACAAGCAACTCTGTTAAATTTTTTATAAATTTCATTGGATTTAGGGGGAGCACAAGACCCTTGAACACTTACCGGGTCCCTAATAATATTAAAAAAAAATTTTCTCAAAATTATGTCATGTTGGGTCTCAAAAGAAGCGAAATTATAAAAAAATTTTAAAAATAACAATCATTTTATAAAAAAATTATTATTTTAATGTTTTTTGCAGAAAAATGACCTTTTTTTAACCTAAAAATAAAAAAAGTGTATTTTTCCAATAATTATTAAAAAAAAAAAAAAATTGAAATGTTTGTTGGAAGTGAAGATGTTTGTTCGAAGTTAAGATGTTTGTTGGAAGTGAAGATGTTTGTTGGAAGTGAAGATGTTTGTTGGAAGTGAAGATGTTTGTTGGAAGTGAAGATGTTTGTTGGAAGTGAAGATGTTTGTTGGAAGTGAAGATGTTTGTTGGAAGCTAAGATGTTTGTTGGAAGTGAAGATGTTTGTTGGAAGTTAAGATGTTTGTTGGAAGTGAAGATGTTTGTTGGAAGTGAAGATGTTTGTTGGAAGTGAAGATGTTTGTTGGAGTTAAGATGTTTGTTGGAAGTGAAGATGTTTGTTGGAAGTTAAGATGTTTGTTGGAAGTGAAGATGTTTGTTGGAAGTGAAGATGTTTGTTGGAAGTGAAGATGTTTGTTGGAAGTTAAGATGTTTGTTGGAAGTGAAGATGTTTGTTGGAAGTTAAGATGTTTGTTGGAAGTGAAGATGTTTGTTGGAAGTGAAGATGTTTGTTGGAAGTGAAGATGTTTGTTGGAAGTTAAGATGTTTGTTGGAAGTGAAGATGTTTGTTGGAAGTGAAGATGTTTGTTGGAAGTGAAGATGTTTGTTGGAAGCTAAGATGTTTGTTGGAAGTGAAGATGTTTGTTGGAAGTTAAGATGTTTGTTGGAAGTGAAGATGTTTGTTGGAAGTGAAGATGTTTGAACAAAAAAAAAAAACAAGAAGTTTGTTTTAACTTAATAACTATATTTTATAATTTTTTTATTTTTATTTAACTTTGATTATTTTTTAATTTAAATCGTAAAAATATTTCTTTTTATGTTTATACTTTTTAAACATAAAAATTTTTAAAAATATATATAAACATCAAACAAACATAAAAAAAAAAAATTCTGAATTAGTAGTAATTCACAAATTATAATTAAAAATGTATTCCCATATTGCTCAGAAAAAAACTTATATATTATTTATAATTTCTAATACTTCACAAAATTTTTTTGGGTTTTATAATATCTGGTTTACCTTCACACAAAGTTAACTTTGCGTTGAAATTTTGCATTAAAAGGGAATTCATTTAAAAAAAAAAGGACAGAAAAATTTAGAAAGATTTTTTTTTAAAAAAAAAAAATTAATATACGCAAATCAAAATTATAATTTTGGTTTGCGTTTATTAATTTTTTTTTTTTAGTTAATATACGCAAACCAATTAACTTATAACTGAATATTGTTTTTTAACCATCTACACTCTACACTCTATATCTCCAAAACTTGCAACTAATGTATTTTGAAAAATCTACTTTAAATTCAATGCTTATTTTGTCTTATGTCCAAAAATTTTCATTTTTAAGACATGATAAAATAAGCATTGAATTCAAAGTTGGTTTTTTTTTTGTCTTTTTTTGATGATTTTTAAGGTATTTTTTTGTAAGATTAACTTCTGCTCAATTATCAAATCATCTTCAATGCAGTGATATTTCAGTTTGAAATTTCTATTTCAGTTTCTATTAAATTCTTGTCACATTGATTTAATTTCTAATTCTAGTTTTACTTATAAAATAATTCCTATTTCAGTTTTAAACCAGTTCTCTAAAAATTAATTTCAGTTCAGTACTTATGATTTTAACAATTCTACTTCTTATTTCAGTTCCTTTTTTTTTTTAATTCAGTTAATATTTCACTTCTATAAAGTTTTTTGGAAATTTTTAAAAAACTTATTAAGTATCATTATCAAAGTTTCAATAATAAAGCAATTTCTTAATATAATATAATACAATATAAATAAGCAAATAATAATTGTATAACAGTCATTTAACAATTCAATTAAATTGAATTTTTTTATGAAACTGCAAGAAAATATATGCTTGAATTTCAATCACATTCTTATTTAGTTCATAAAAACTCATCTCTAATGATGTTTTTATTCGATTACAGCGCCTAACAGTTAAAAAAATGATACTGGGGCGGACAACAAATTTTTAGCCAACATCGCAATATTACTATATATACTATGCTTTTATTTTGTTTCTAAAAAGAGCAAGCCATTACCTGGCAGGGTGTCATAACACTTGATGTCTGCCAAATAAATTGAAAATTGACCTGAAACAGTGACATTGACTTAGTTATTAATATTTCTTTTATTTGAAAATATTTTATTCGATAAGAATTTAGTGTTTTATGGCAGCAGACTCATATTTAGATTCATCATTTGACTTGTAATTCTGACTCAACTCTACTAACACTTGTTATATACATCTTTGGTGCATCAAGTGAGGTACCCATTTCCGGCATAAGAATAAAGACAGCAATGATTAGATCTAACAAACATGCAGTAGATGGTAGTGGATTTCACGTAGTTAAGTCAGGCTGCAAAATTGATTTAAACCTTTGACATAGATCTCCAAGAGGATTTGCTGATAAAGTTTTGTTTGTAGGATGTTCTTGCAGATAGCATTCCAAGTTGAGTATAGATGGTAGAACCTGTGAAAGGGATTGGGCATCAGTTTGAAGTATATCTGTTTGTACTGCAAAGAATTCTAAAAATGAGGAAAGATTTTGAAGCCAAACCCATTCACTTGTTTCGAATGTGTCAATTCCTAAATTTAAGAAAACCATCTGAAATTAAAGTTTACTAATATCAATTATAATAACTGAAAATTGTCATCATTTTCCACATGCCTCCTTTCCTATGCTTTTGTGATATGATTTAAAAGACAGTATATAGCTTATACTACATTTCTCATCTTGTTTTTTAATAATAATGACTAAATAACTAGAGAACTTCTTTTAAATTATTGCTACTTTTGTTTTCTTGATTAAATAAGACAGCAATTTTGGGAATTTTAAAATCCCAAAAATAGTTTGTATGCACTAATAACATAAATAAAAATATATACCTATTTTTGTTAGATCTTCATTCACCGTTGACTTTATTTTCAACAGCCATTTGATCATCTTATATGTATTGTTCCATATTGTCGTGCAGTCAGTGATCACAGATTTACCACACTTGCTAATGAGTTTCTCAATTGCCACACTTGATTTTCTAACTTTTGATGCAAAATAGTTGTGCTATAATAGTTTTGTAAATTGGTTTTATAAAAAGCTGAAGTATGTGAGCCATACCAGGCATTCAACAATATGGAATATCATTCAACTACATGAAATATGAGTCAAAATGAGAATGGTTGTCTTCCTCATTTGTTTCATATTCAGACTCTTCAGATTCAGACTTGTCAGATTTTATGGATGGCTCTTCCTGTTATAGTCTGATGACTTTAACCATATCAGACCCATTGTCTGAAACAATCAACATAATTTGATCTTCTCTAATACCCTAATGGTCAAGACATTTTTTTAAACGTTCTGTAAGCATCTTACCCGTGTGCAGATGTTGGAGAACTGTTAAACTTAGGAAAACACGTCATGTTTGATCAATGGTGATGTCATAGAAACATGTAGATATTCCAAGGAACGATGCTGTGAGACTCTTCTTTATCCAACCATTGAGACAAATTGTAACTTTTGTGCACAAATCAACAAATCTTTCAGTTGTGCAGATAGTAGATGAAAATATTTGTTTATCAGCTTGTTCAGTGTTGCAGACCCTGCAATATAAAAATTAAAGTTAAAATTGTAGCTACCAATTTTTGGATTTATTTACACAAAATCCAAAAATTTTAGGTAAACCATAGTTAACCCAAAATAATTTAAAATAACCGTGAAATAATAACTTCATGGTTTTTTTTTGTTACTAATATTGGTTATTGGTAATAATGGTTATATAATTTTGGTTGCTAATATTGGCTACATTTAATTGTAAGTTCGAATTATTTCTTTTATTTTAGGTTTCTAGGGTTATTTTGTCCTTTTTGACGCACTGATAATAGTATATTTATTTTAGGTGTACTGCACTATATAAAATTTAAATTCAGCTAACCCTAAAACATCACAAACTTGCTATATATATATATATATATATATATATATATATATATATATATATATATATATATATATATATATATATATATATATATATATATATATATATATATATATATATATATATATATATATATATATATATATATATATATATATATATATATATACTACTAGAAATTTCTATGCACTTTTATAGGCTAGTTTATAACATTTAAAAATTGTTAAGCATTATCGAATTTAAAATACAATACTTATTTATATAATTATATATATAAATAATATAATTTTTATTTATAATTAATTATTCATACAAATTAAGTTGTTAATTACCTGGTAATTTAAATTTTGGTTCAGACACTTTTATCATTTTTCAAAATGACAGCTCATCTAGCAATGCCAGTGGTATTAACAATTATTTTCATCAAGCAATCCTGACGAAGTCGATGTTCACTTGATTCAGTTGGCCACTTAATTCAACATTCAAAGCACTCCTATTATCTGGATCTTTGTTTTTCCACTATTTCGGGAAGATGTAGAATCATTATCATCAATTTTACACTTTATAAATTGTTTTTTTGCATCTTGTTTTTTCTTTTCTTCAATTTAAATTTTGTGTCTTTTTATGTCTTCTCTGAATATGCGTAACCAACTTACTAAAATTTTTTTCAGCAAGAGTTGTGCCACACAACTCTTTATGTATGGAAATTTTTTTTTATTTTTTAGTTTATTAGAAGTAAAATTATTCTTACTGAACAAAAATTATTGAATTCAAAAGTAAGTTATTTTAAAGTTATTTTTATTGCAAATAAAAATAACTTTCAGATCTCCTACTAGCCAATAACCTTGATAAACTCATTTCTTTATAGATTGATTTTCAACTCTTTAGTATCTTTAAATATTTATATTTTTTGTAACAAAAGATTAAATATATTGTTGACGTAAGAGTTTGACTCTAACGTCAACAATACATTTAATCTTTTGTTATAAAAGAAGTTCAAAGCATGGAAAAAAAGCCAAAGAACACGTGACCAGATTGGTGGCCAGACATGTGCAACAGCAATAAAGGAAGTGCAAATAAATTGTAAAAAAAAAAATTTTTTTGTTAAATTTTACTTTTGAATTCAATAATTTTTGTTCAGTAATAATAATTTTACTTCTATTTTCGTTTCTGATGTTGATATTCAATTCTATTTCAGTTTTTATTCTTCAAATAGTTCCTAATTTCAGTTTTCATTTACATTTATGAAATTGATTTTTTCCTACTTATAATTTTACTTAACGTTAATTTAAATATCATTGCTTTTATGTCCTTATTTTCTTTATTAGTTAATATAACTTTTAAAAGAGTTTTCTTTACTTTTTTTAACATCTATCATTTCATCACAAGATTTTGGGATCTGAAACAGAAATTGTCTGTTTATACCTCTTAATTAGCATGCAAGTTATCACTACACCACTACATAAACGTAGCAAGCTTGAAAATTAAGAATCCTACTTTATAGTGTTAAAACTTTTTAAAGCACAAAAAACACAAAATAACAAACTTGAACACAAAATAACAAACTTGTCAAATAAATAATATAATAAATTATTCAAGTATAAACTATTATTAATTAAAAAAAGACTTAAAAACAAATTTTGGTTGGATCTGATGTTTTACACTGGTGTTTGTTTTAATATTTTACACTGGCAGTGTGATTGGTGTGATGTTGGGAGCTGATGCTTGACACCAGTTTCTTATCAAAAATTATAAAAATATAAAATCAATATATGAACAGCTGAATACAGTGAACTTATTTTCCTTGAGATTTTTCATTAATTGCTTTTCTTAAGGTTTCCTTTAATTGGTCATCAGATACATCTTTTGCCCATTCAGGAATGTTTGTTGTTGGAAGTGAAAATCCTGACATAGATTTCCTGATTATTTCTGCATGAGCTAAAAAAAAAAAAATCAACTCATCACTCACATTAAACATAAGCAATCAAAATTGTTTTTTCCTTAAATACAAAGCTCTTTGAGGTCAAAGTTATAAAAAAGAAACTCATTGCTCTCACAACCCTAGAACTCTATGATAATACTTTTAAAAAATGATTTTTATTGTTGACAAACCATTATAACATAAAAATCTACAGGAAATCATTGTGCAAACCAGTTTAATATATTATAATTCTTTTATATTATTATTCTGTATAATTTATTTGGAAAAAATTATAGAATTAAGTATGTTTTACTTTCAGATATTTTAAAATCATTTTTTTCAAAGGTGATACCACAATCTGCATGATTGTCATATTCAGGAAATTCTAGCCCTATACTTGATAAGCCATCTTCAATAGCAGAGCATACAAGATTCTAAATGCACAACATAAGAACTGAAATTACAAGATTCTAAACACACAATATGATAAAATAAACATAATTAAATTAAAACATCATCATCAAAAAATTAACTTTTAAAGTTAAATTTAATACAAATAAATAATTCAAATAAAAATATAAAAGCTTTTACAATCAGATAAAACTTACAAAAAATATATAATTAATTAACTTTTAATTTATACAAAGTTTTAAACTTACCTGATAATCAATGCAAATATTTTCAGTATTATGTAATTCATCATTGCCTACAGAAATTTCTTCTCTCTCATCTTCACTACTATAGTTGCATGACAAATCCTGTGAGAGGAGTTGGTAACCTGCATATTCACTTTGATTTGTATCAACATCATCTTCTTCGCTGCTTGAAACCTCAAAATGAGATGAATGATGAACCTGGGAGTTCAGCTCATCTGAAATATTCTCAGTTTTTTTGCTATTATTTTCTATATTAGACTCAGGTGACATATCAAATACTAAAGTTAATTAAACAAAATTTAAAAATTTCTTTGAAAATAAAACTCAATAAAAAATCATTTTTATTTTAGCTGAATAATAATAACTCATAAAAAATAAGTATAATCTAAAATAATAACCAGGTTAATTTCAATATTAAGAACTGTATAAAATTATTAAAAATAAAAAAATTATTGAATTATATGATCCTTTTTTTAAACAAACTAATTAACTAATTAGACAAATAATTTTTAATTGTAAAATTACAAAATACAAAACTTTTTAGAACTTCACAAAATAATTGCCAGCGTAAGTTTGTAATGGTCCTATCGCCTTGAACTAGAAATCGCCTGGTGGAAATTATCCTATCCTAATAGAACTAGTCCTATCGCCTAACCCATTGGAAAGCTCTTCTAGCACCTTTTCTTCCTGGTTTCTTTCTTTCTCGAAACCGCCAATCCCTAGTCAGTAGCTTATAAGAATTTAAAACTTCAAAATGTTCAGGACACAATCCTGCAATGCATCGACTTATTCCAAGTCGTATAGCACCAGATTTACCTGATGTTCCACCACCAATTACATAAGTCTCTATATCAAATCTGTTTAACTGACCAATCGCTACTAAAGGAAACATAATCTGCTCTCGATCGTTTGGTATAATAAAGTAATCTAAGAATGGTTTATTATTAACAGTTATTTTACCAGTCCCCTCCTTAATAATTACTTCTGCTTTCGCACTTTTTCGATATCCCATTGATCGAGCACAACCATCAAAAACTTCAACATCTTTAAGATCTTCTCTTCCTGGTGTATAAATTGGAACTTGAAATTGTTGAAGAAAATCTTGAATTTCATTGGCTTTTGAATGTGAGGATAGTTTTTTAAGACGAAATAATACAATTTCATAGTGTTTGTCACTGATTTTTTCTCCCAATTTTTCTTCTAGTTGAAATTTTCTTAACCATTGCATTCGCTTTGATTCGATAAATTCAGAACTATTTTCTGTTTTATTATGAATACTTTGATAAGAAATTGGCTTTGGAGATGCTAACTTTTCCTTTTCCTGCCAAATTTTATAGGTAAGATCATAAAACTTTGGAATTCCAGTATAAAATCCAGAAAGATATGGTCGGCCATACACATCAAA